TATTCAGTCTTGCTTAATGCATTCAAATATAAATTTTATTGAAATAACCCACCTATATTAAGGAGCACAGTGACAGTAGAAGCTCACTCAATGGAAGTTACTTACTAGCATGACAACACACCAGTTGAGGATCCCTCTGTAGTTACTGTAGCCACTGGCTGAGCTGAGCAGGGACTCCTGCTGCCTGTGGCATCTAGTGAAGACAAAACCAAGTAGAATAATCAGAACACTCACACAGTTATTAAACCAGATAAATCACTATGATAGCACAAAAATATGTCTGATGACTGAAAAGACTGGGAACGTTTGCTAGGATTATCATTTCATTTGTTCCTTTTACATATTTCATACTAATTTATGCAGTATGTTTGCGTTAACTGGGATATTTGTGTGGGCCCCATCTCAAAACATTATTAAGATTACACTGGAGCTGATGTGAATTATATGCACAATGGATGATGCTTCAGTTTACCTGAACTAAATCAAGTTAAGAAATTCAATGAGACACGTTACATATATATGCAGGGTACAGACAGGACAGGTTGAGAGTCTGGATACTAATGAGCAAACAAACATCAACCCACTAATTGTTGAAACAAACTCTGTCAACTTTTGAAACTATCCTCTGCCTGTTCCTTTGCAACTGGTATGCTCATGAGGCAACCTGTTCTAACCTCTGACCTGCTCTAACCTGCTCTAACCTTTTAAGCAATCCTCTTTTCAAACAAAGTCACGCAATTTCCAAAAAGACAACAAGACATAGAATACGTTTGGTCGCAATCAATAAGAAGGATCCAAAAGCTTGCTTTGATTAAAAGTAACACCTCCTTAAAATCTCAACCAATACAATCATTCAAGAAACAGGCAAAACCTGATGATCTGCAATTTCAACTAAGGAACAATCTATCCCTCTGTTGTTATAATCAAATTGCTTTTTTCAAAGAATCAGCTGGATGAGATCATTGGATCAGTTAGCCACTAGAAACCAAGAACTAGCTGAGCCTTGCTTGCCAGCAAACTTTCTATACATTCTGATGTTGCAGCATTACATCTGTTAAGAGATATTGCAAATTTCAATAAACTTTGAAGTGCAAACACACTGGACGCCTATTGCAACACAAACGGAAAATATGACAAACTAGGTGTGCAATTTCAAATGCTTCATTTCTGTTTGATAAGATTAATAAAAGATAATGCCTCTGATGTTTTAAGTTGTGTGGTTTCTAGCTTATAGCTTAGTTTTGGCGATATGAAAGAATTTAATTTTTCAAAGTGCAATTTCTAAAGCAAATCTGTAATTAATATCAGCAAACAATTAGCAATGAACTAATTATTACCACTCCAGATAGTATCAGCCTATAAAGGCTAAGGGAAACCATTAAAAAATCAGGAATCACAATAGGCAGGTTTATGTGCTGCCTCCCCATCTTCACACCAGAGTATTATGTATTTTAATCCATTTTTAACTTGGCAAGGCTGAAGAGTCCATTTTCAAGTACCGGATAACTGTTCAGTGCTCCTTCTATGCTAGGAAATACTGTGGAGGATCTTACCATTATATTGCAAATTATATATAATATTGTGAAATACTGTAAAACCGCAGAAAATGTATAATGTCAAAAACATGCATTTGTAAGCAATAATGTTGCAGGTGTACCTTTTCTAGTGACAATTTATCTCAGCACACCTGGGTTTTTCTTTCTTCTCAGATTTCTAGGTTAATGTGTACCTTAAGTGACATTAAACACTCTGGATTGTGCAAACAGCAAGGGCACGCCTTAAAGACCCATCCCACTGGTCCAAAAGACACAAAAGGACATGTAAAGTATTTAACTGCCATTTATAAATTAGAAAACACACAAACTCCCAAGAGATTCAGATTCCGAAATCTTAAGGAATTAGAATTTGGCAAAAGTTACAAAACCAGATGGTCGACCATTCAGGGAAAGACCTTAAATAATCTTGACTACAGGGTATATCTGTATATCAGCGAATGACATTCCAATCCACTGTTATCAGCAGACTTTTTTTTTCTAAAAGCAAAAGGTACACCAAATATTTTTAATCTAGTATTTTGTGGGTTTTCAACACAGGTAATAAACATGGAAAGGGTCAGAGGTCTAAAAATCTCGAATAAAAGATTGTCAGATACAAGATTACAATATGTAAAAGAAGTGTGGCCAGAGGTATTTTATACTATGTCCCTTGAAAAGAACTGACCCATGGTGTTCTCTAAAAAAGTAGGAGTAATATCACCTTGAAGGTGCTTTATAATAGAGCTCTAATTCATATACTGCCTTCATTTTATCTGCTTTTACTGAAATAAACTGAATATTTCATTTTCTGTCATTTTGACAAAAAAATGTTTCTTGAATAAGATAAGATAGCTTTATTAGCCCTGTACAATTTCTTGCATTAGGAATTTGTCTTTTCACATACCCCAGCTTGCTCTCCGTGAGACACAGACACACAGACAGGGAGAGAAGCTTGGGGTGAGAATGCAGGGTCAGCCATTGTATAGCGCCCCTGGAGCAGTTGGGGTTAAGGGCCTTGCTCAGGGGCCCAACGGAGCCTCTGCCGGCTGTGGGATTTGAACCGGCAACCTTCCAGCCACAGGCGCAGATCCTTAGCCACAGAGCCACACTTTCACATGGAAGCACTGACCAAATCCCTTGCTATTTTGTGCAGTGGATAGGATATGACTGATCAGTTTTCATAAAGAACATTCTCCTACACATTACATTTTCCTAATTAAATGTGTCCAGAAATAGGAATTTGGAGAAAATGGCCTAGTCTCCTGTAGTTCAGGTAGGTAGCTGAGTCAGCATGCGTAGGCTGCAAAGGAACAAGTAACACCTGAAGAAGGCTCCACGGCCGAAACTGTGTTTTCTTTCTTCTTTTTTTCAGCATGGAATAAACCTATTACTTGTGACTTAATAAACCTATGACTTGTAAACCTATTACTAGTCTCCTGTAGTGTACTTTAGGGTGACTAAAATTGTTTCAAAATAATGCAATTTTCCCTAAAAGCAAAGGTCATTTTTTTAGGTATACCCTCATGAGGAACCAAGCCTCATTCATTGTTTCGTTAACAACTTCACACTTAGCAACAGGAATGATTTAAAGGACAAAGGTTTACTGCTTGTTACATATTGAAGGTCAAAGGTCTAAGTTCCAAGAACCTGATGCCAAACATTCAACCGCACCCTAAAAAAAACAGTTTTTTAAAGCATATTTTCTTTAGTCGATCCTGCCCGCACCTAACTGTTTGAAAACATCTTCCTTTTAACTAACTCTGGGGTTGCATACGCAGATATCTTTACAACCAGCACATTATGCTTGCATAAAGTACACACAAGACTGATCTTTGCCTCACTGAATCATACTTTACAACATTAAGGAAGCAAAAGTTACTTCAACCATGACAAAAAAAAGCTTTCTGTGCACATTTCCCATTAGTATTATTATGACATCTCTTAAGGAAGAATTCATTACTGCGCGTTTGTAAAACTTTTTTTATGCTCACACGTACAGCAAAACTTTGTTTAGTTTAAATCCCAGGGAGACTTCATTTTAAACGCACTGACATTACCCAAACCTACTGGTGATACCACATGTTAATGAGTTGTGGTATACTGCCTTCAACGTAAAAAGCATTGCCATATCAAGAGAATTATACAATAACATCACTTATGCTGCAACTATGTTTCCTTCATTGGTCTATATTTTATCAGTTCGTTTTTACTTAAGACGCAGATGTCAATACTAGGGATTGGGCTAAAAATCCATGTTTCACATATAATACTGGCAAGATGAAAAGCAGAAAAGGTGTTAATTTAAGAGAGAATTTGGTATCTGATTTGAACTTCCTTAATCTCCACTACAAGTAGGGGCTGCACCCGGAAACAAGTGCACTGGAGTCAACAGGCTTCAAGCCCTGGCTTAATTTCAGAACATGAACCCACACACATGTGGAGTAGTTTGCATAAAATAGCAGGACTGACACCACCAGACAAAATGTTTGTTTTTGTTGTAATTATTCCCCCATCTAGAAAGGTCAAGCCCCGATTCTTATCACACCCAAGGCAATTTGATTTAGACTCCGTTCACGCCTCGGACTTTGCGAGAGTTACCTCTTGGAAAGGACGAATGTTACAGACTTAAACGATGTGTGACGAGATACAGTACAGTAACAGTTTCAAGGGGGGAAATTCAGCAATTGAGTGGAAAGCAAGAGCAAACTATATCATTACATCCCAACGTCATTAGCGATGCAACAATTATTTCTCAATCGAAATCACACAACTATAATAGTATACGTGAGTGCTACAGCAAGAGGGTTTGCTTCAGAGCAATCAAAGCCATTTAAAAAGATACCACCTCGCCTTTACCTGAGTTTGTCGTAGTGGTTATCGTGTTTCCCCTTGTCCTTTCTTGCTACCGCGGGGAACTCTTGTGTCTTTTCTTCCTTCGCCTTCTGATGAACACTGTGGTTCGTGACACTGTTAGTTTCTCCATCAGACTTAGTAGCTTTCCAACTTGGCCCCACTCCTCCGGTGATGGTGGTTCGCCTTTTACGGTTGTGGGGGCCTTTCTCGACTTTATCTCCCATTTTCCTTGAGATGCATCAAAACCCGTGCATGTGTACGAAAGTTTTTCCTTAAGTTTATTCAATTCCCCCAGCACAGAGAGCGTCTTGACTATTCAAAGGCTAGCCTCTTACATCCCCCCACAGTTACCAACCCAAGACGTCATGTACAGGCGGTGGGACAAATATCGTTGCTCCTTTCGCCGTGGGAGTTGTAGTTTTCTTTTCGGCTGAGCCGCTGCGGGGGATCCTGGGAATTGAAGTCCAGAGTACTAGATAGAAAAAATTTTATAGAGAATAAATCCCTTACCACGCTATCTAAGTAGAAGGTAAAAGCAAGCCCTGGAGTACAACATCCACCTGGGTGTGATACAGATGCCAGTATATAATAAATATGAATTCTTTACACTTATATAGCACTTTTCTGGACACCCCACTCAAAGCACTTTACAGGTAATGGGGACCACCAATGTGCAGCATCCACCTGAATGATGCTCCAGTTCGCTCACCACACATCAGCTATGAGAGTGATGAAGCCGATTCATAGATGGGGAGTATTAGGAGACCAGGGGGAAATTTGGCCAGGACACCGGGGTCAAACCCGTACTCATTTCGAGAAACACCCTGATCTTTTTAATGAGCACAGAGAGTCAGGACCTCGCTTTTACGTCTCATCCGAAGGACGGCTCCTTTTTTACAGTATAGTGTCCCCGTCCCCGTACTGGGGATCCACACAGACCGCAGGTTTAGCGCCCCCTACTGGTCCCACTTACACCTCTTCCACTGGTCCAGCAAATTGGTCAGGAAAGCAAGATGCTGCTTCTCGAATTGAAAAACCGAGAATTTTAGTTAAAACAGATTGTTCAAGCACAGAGTGCAATTCAGAATGGACACCAGATATTACAAACCTAGTCAACAGTATAAGGGGATTTTAACACCTGCTTAACATATCAGAATTGAATAACTACATGTCTATAGGAGCTCATGATTTAATATTGACATCTAATGTACTAATGTACTTCAAAACCCACATGGATTAGCCTCTTCGGCCTACAGCTTCAGATATCACTACCACCAATTCCATTACTTCTTCTGTCAACAACGTTGCGGCAGCCGCCACACAGGTACAGGTAAATTCCGAAAAATAAAGATGGAAAATAAGTGGATTTTTTTAAAAAAAAACTACATTTCCTAGAATTCCTTGCGTGACCAGGCGCTCTCAACATAAACTGCTTGACGCCAGCGAGAGAGCCCGGCCAATCAGAAGCAGCGCTCAGGCTGGGTCCTCGAGTGGGCACCAATCGGATCAGAGACAACGACAGTTCCCCTTTCAGGTTTGTCAAGGTTGGGGTAGAAGGCAATTTGCCATTGTAGGGGGACGGTTGAGGTGAAGGAAGGCTGATGTGCTGATTTTTGAATGGTTCTGTTTGCGTAACCTTTCGTAATTTCGTTTGTATTATTTAAAATTATTTAAAAGTATGTGAGATCTTGGGAGATAATCTAGTGTGTCACAAGGAGATGAAGAAGGGAAAAAAACACCAGCAGAACACTGGATCCCAAGTGACTGGAAATGGAACGGTGAAGAAGCAAGGAGGTTAAAAATCGTTCATTTATTATTTTAATGTTTCATATAACCCGTGTCAAAACGGGGAATATTTTATTATCTCAGCAAAATTACCTTTTTTTATCCGTCATACAAATCCATGTTAAGCTAAATTCTTCCAGTGTCAAAATCGGGCTGCTCTTTCAGTCTGTGCCTACGTGTAAGTGCACGTTTTCGGACAAGCGACAAAATGTGTAAATGCATAATCATGAGCAGCGGCAGTGTTACAGTCGCAGTCGGTGTTTTTCGGATATAAAATGTTGCACCGTGTACAGTTTGTTTATAAAAAGAGTATAGTGATTTCGTACCGGTAGCGTAGGGCTGTGGAATATAACCTGAATTGAGTATCCCATCTCGGTAATGAGGAGACAGATAACACGATGTTCCTTCGATGACAATTTGACTTCTTTCTATTGTTGCAATGAGGTATTTAATACAGAAAATTCTGTTTCATCGTATCTTGTTTGTATCACGTCAGGCTGCATGCCTAATGCAAACATCTGTACAATTGTTCCCAAAGCTGTTAGCTACTGTTTTCCGTGTACACGTAGTATTTGTCTTCCCATTTAACATGGGAATTCAGCAATAAAAACACCATTAGAGGAATATATGATTACGGTGTGAGTGCAAATCTGTAAATTAAGGTTTGGACACAATCCCAGTTTTGAGTTGCAGTCGGTTCTTCCGATTCGGGTATGGGAAGTGGATTCAAAGATCCGCCGTTATACAAGCAAAGCGACTAGCAAATTGTGACACACCAAAACAGAGAAATTGAGGACCACATCCCATTAGTATGAAGTCAAAATAAGATCATTCAGGCCAGATACTGAAGAAGGACAGTTATGTAAATCAGTGTTGGGTACAGGAGGAAAGTATTGATGTGTCTTGATCCACCCGGAAATTAGCAGGTGACGTCAGCAGGGCTGTGAATGAGCCCTAACACGGGCGCGTGCCGCGGGGTGACCTCGCCTGTGTTGTGAGACGTTGTGAGATGTTAATGTCATGTGCCATTAAATATTGATATTGGATTCTATGTTTCTGTGTGCTATGTTTCTGCCTTGTGTCAGCGTGAATGGTCTTTATTATAGCATACACCTGCAGTTTTTACATCTGCGTCTGTCAGCATATTTGATCCAAGTTTTTCCTTTTCTTTTTAAGATCCTATCCGTTGTTAGTCTTCAGTGTTCAGTCATTTCTAGAAGCACACTGAGGACATCACATAGAGATGTGCAGGTACTGCATCTTAAGATGTTGATAGTCCTTCAGAACGACAAAAAGAACTGGTTCCATTCAACTGATTATAGGTCTTTTCAATTTGTTTTGATCCGTCTCCCTATTTAGTTTTAGGCGACTGGATTGTTGCTTTTCGCTTCAGCGTATCCAGTTCGCTGCCAGGAGGTTTAAAAAATAAAAACGATCAGAGGCAAGAGGTGGCCACTTTTGTCTAGATCGGGTGGTTGCTGCTAGTTTTTCTAATCGGTAATTCCATCCAGCATTTCTCAGAAATAAAAACAACATTGCAGAGTAGTTAGGATCTAAAAAAAGGCTTCCTTTTCCACTGGCAAGTGAAATGTATTCACGTCGCTTGAAGGCTGCACATTTGATAGGGGTGCCACAACTTTGACCCGCTAGTGAGTTCAAGTGCTACGGGTACGTCTTTTTTTTTCCCTCCTTACTCCCCCTGAATGCCTTGCCCTGAGGGGAGTCGTTTCCTTTCGGTTCCGGCGCACAGAGCACGAGTCGAAGAAGAAGCAGAAGCTGGTGGAGATCCACCGGGCCCTGAACAGCGATCCCGTGGACATCGAGACCCTGCGCAGAGCCGCCGTGAGCGAGGGGGGACTCGTGGCGGACGAGATCAGGAGGAAAGTGTGGCCCAAGCTGCTCAGCGTCAATGTGTACAATCTGCCTCCCAGACCAGGTGAGAGAGCACTGGAAACAGCACGCAGGCATGTGTCCATGGTGGAGATTGTTTTCAAGGGTGTGTTCATGTGTGTAGTTAAGGCAACTTAGAAAGGAAGCTGATGTTGAATTATGCTGGCATACCTCAGGTGTTAATTTCTTGTGGTCAAACGTTAATTCTCCCCAGGTGCTACAGAAGTGGAAGCCTACGATGAACGTGCATGATTTGGATGTGTTTTTAAATTTATTGGCTGCTCTTTGTAGGTTATGCTACTTAATTGCCTCTAAATGAAGCACTGTCTTGTGGTTTGTGCCACGGTTAGGTGTTATTTTTTTAACTGTAAAAGTGCGGTATGGAAGTTGTGAATCAAGAGAGCGATTTCTAAAATTGTTTTCTACACAGTTGTCACACCATTTGAAATGGTCAACCATAGAAACCTAGATGGCTTCCGAAGTAGAAATGGATGAATGCTCTGATGTTCAGTCATCAGTCTGTTGAGCTGCATTATTGACCAGAAGAGACATCTAATATTTTATTTTCAAATGTTATGAGCAAGAACGATAACAAAGTGATTCTTCAATATCCCCAGGAAAAGATGTCAGAGAGAGCCACAAGGATTACAACCAGGTGCTTCTCGATGTCCGGAGGTCAATGCGACGTTTTCCAAAAGGTAATTACAATTAATTAAAACATTCCCGTAACATCTCCCTTTTTATCTTTTGACTAGTTGTATGAAACTACTGTTTAAAAGTGACAGAGGAGTTCAGAATGGATCCCACTGTAAGAGGGTGGGATAGATATTAACAATCCACGTGTAGTGCCACTACTCTATCGTAAACCCCATTGTTACTGCAATGTTGCAATATTCTGCAATTGTTAAGGCAGAAAATTTCAATTGGAAACTGTAGAATTATTTTTGTAAGTTTAAAAAAATAATATTTTCTACAGTTTATTAGTGGAACACCCTACTTGTATCTGAATCCAAAGTGAACAAACTTCGGTATGCCCAGATTTTGGCAGTAATTGCATTACTCCTGCCCTGGTGTCCTTGCACAGCTAAAGTTTGTTACTGCAAAAGATTTGTGACTTTCATTTAAGATCACTTTGTTAGCCATATACAATTTCTTGTATTAGGAATTTGTCTTTTCACATCCCCCGACTTGCTCTCCATGAGACACACAGACAGGGAGAGAAGCTTGGGGTCAGAGCGCAGGGTCGGCCCTTTTTATACCGCGCCCTTGGAGAAGTTGGGGTTAAGGGCCTTGCTCAGGGGCCCAATGGAGGAGGATTTCTCTGCCGGCCGCGAGATACGAACCGGCAACCTTCAAGCCACAGGCGCAGATCCTTAGCCACAAAGCCACCCCAAACGTAATAGAATCCTGTATTAGAAAGCTGCCACATTGTCACAGTATAGGAGCACAAGGCGGGACAAAAAAAAAAATGGATCGATACATTAAAAATGTTCAAATTCATTGTGTTTAGCTACAAAAACTGTCTTCACAATTCTTTTCACATTCATTCTGACCACATCAAGAAACAAGTTCTATTAGTTCCCTGCTGCTCAGTAAATCTCCACCAATTGTACAGGTATTGGGGGGGAAAAGTCAACTTTGACATTGCCGCCCATTAAGTGTGGTTCATACATTTACAGAACCCCTTTGCCTGGGTAGTTTTAGAAAAGTGGTGATTGTCCGTTCTATGTAGGTCCTGATCTGGCACCTCGGCCTCCTTCCCCACTCGGCGATTGCATCCCATTGTCCTTTGCAGAACATACACTCGCTCAACAGATGGCAGAGGTGACAGACGTGGACTGATTATGATGTAAGGAAGTGACGGGCACCCGCTGTGCGCGGGGATGTAAAGCGCAGAGAGTCCGGTGTCCCGTGGCTCGAGCGCGGGCTCTACCTGGCTCAGCTGTCCTCTCTCTCCTTCAGGGATGCGTGCCGAGCAGAGAGAGGTCCTGCAGGAGCAGCTGACTGACATCATCCTGGACGTCCTGAAGAGGAACCCTCAGCTGCATTACTACCAAGGCTACCACGATATCGTGGTCACCTTCTTACTGGTCGTGGGAGAGAGAATGGCTGCAGCTATGGTGGACACTCTGTCAAATCACCACCTCAGGTAAAGGGGTTCTGTCTTAATAATAATAATAATAATAATAATAATAATAATAAACTTTATTTTATGTAGTGCCTTTAAAGATGGCTTCTCAAAGTGCTTTACAGAATGACAACAACAAATAAAAAATACACAAGATAAAACACAATTACAATATACAGAGGAGACCGTGGATGGTGGTATTAAGAAAAGCAGAGGAGTGAAGAATGGCACCAGTTAAGAAAAGGCCTTTCTAAAGAAGAAGGTTTTGAGTCTGGATTTGAAGGAGTTTAGAGAAGGTGACTCTCTGATATCCTTGGGCAGAGAGTTCCAGAGCTTGGGGGTATAATAGGAGGAAGGCCCTGTCACCCATACAATGTAGATGGGCTTGGGGGACAGTAAGGAGAGCAGAATTAGAAGAGCGTAAGTTGGGAGGTGGGGAGTAGGGCGATAATAGTTCAGACAGGTACTGAGGTGCCAAGCCATGCAGAGCCTTGTAGGTGAGCATGAGGATTTTAAGGTCCACACGGAATTTGACAGGAAGCCAGTGCAAGGACTCCAGGATAGGAGTAATGTGATCATTTGCACTAGACCTGGTCAGGATTCTGGCTGCTGAATTTTGGACATACTGCAGTTTGTTCAAAGTAGATTTAGATACCCCAGCGAGTAGAGCATTACAGTGCAGTCTTAAGTGCATGAGGGAGGCTTCCTTATTTTCAGCAGTTATTTTTTCATAAATGAGAAATGACTCCCTGAGATAGTTACAGTAAATGTAATTCTTTTATCCATGTATTCACTTCTTGGCTACTTTCTTCCTGTTTAAGTAAATTTTACAAATAAGGGGATGTGAATATATATTCAAAATTCAGGTCCTGACACCAGCTGGCTTTTCAAGTACATTATGGGAAAAATCACAGCTACATAGAGAACCTTAACATTTATCGACCTGTGCTCTCCAACACTGTGTGGTCACAAAGTAATAAACCAAGTGGCAAATTTAAAAGTATTTTTCCAAAAGCACATGCACATACAAAGTTCACCGCTCTCCTTTACAGATATTTTCAAAACTAAGTATTTCGGGGTCCTGCGTTTTTACAGGACCCAGAAAAGCAGAATTCACCTTGTTACGGAGGCACAAATGCCGTATAGTAAAAGAGAGTCCTTTTTTCTTATCAAATAAACCGGTTCTAAATGGAACTATTTTTTTTCTAAAAGGGGTACTTAACAAACATGGACTTTTTTCCCTATTCCAAAACCATGCTGCACTAAACAAGTAGGTCTGTTTAAGGCAATAGTCTCTTAATAATAATAATATAATAATATCTTTCACTTATATAGCATTTTTCTGGACAGCCCTCCACTGCAACGAATGTGTAGTCCCCACCTGGATGATGCGACAGCAGCAAAAGTAGACCAGTACGATCACCACACACCAGCTATCAGTGGGGAGGAGAACATAGTGATGAAGCCAGTTCAGAGATGGGGATTGTTAGGAGGCCATAATTAGTAGAGGCCATGGGGACATTTGGCCAGGAACGGCAGGGTAACACCCCTACTCTTTTTGAGAAACACCCTGGGATTTTTAATGACCACAGAGAGTCAGTTTTATATCTCATCCGAAGAATGGGACATAAAAGGCTAGTGTCTGTTTTTATAGTGCTCAGATTATGAAGAGATAATGTATTCTCTGGTCAGTAAAGGAGGAGTTCTCTCACATTTTACTCGTTCTCTATTCCTTTCTGGTCTAATTTTGTTTTTCTTTAATACTGATCTGGGGTGTAGTTTTCCTGTGTCTCATCAAGATGAAAGCTTGCTTACTAACCTCACTAGGACTGACACCTTCTCATAATCACCAATGGGAAAGTGCTTGACTGTAGAGCAAAAACAGGTTTTCATTTAACTGTTCCAATGCCTTTGGAAGGCACTGTATAACGATTGGAGGGTGTTTTTCCCTCAACAGAGAGGGTAACAGATGAAACTGATTTTTTTCTGATGTCAGTTGAGGATAGAAAATTCACTGCATGCAAACAAGTTAATAGTGGGGGAAAAAAACATTGGAAAAACAATCTGCAATTTCTTTTTGACCTGCTAATTTGTGCTGCAGGTGTTGCTTCAAGCTATGAAGCCGTCAGTTTTGAAATGGAGTACACAATGTCTGGGTGACAGAAGGTGTGGCCAACGCAAAATGTCACATATTCCCCAGTAAATGAGCTTTCACCAAAGCTGAACTAAACATAACCGAGCCTGCAAGCACATGGAATGTGTTCCCAGTCCATCTGCAGGATTTGATCAACAAGTGCCTGTGTTAAAAAGAGATTTTGTCTGTGACGCTATTTCAATGCATGTAATGAGAATACTTCAGCAACGTCCTGAAATGACAATTCTGTGCCCACTGTGCTTGGGACTATAATCTCCTTTCGTACTGACAGTCTTTCAGCACAACTGCAGTGCTAGGATTTACTGTCACAGCATGCATTGTTTCTTCTGACTTAATCGGCTGTTTTGTGTAGTGGTGTGGAAATAAGCAAGACGACCATCAACTGGGGAAGTATTTGTTAAATACACATAAGCTCAAGGGTAAAGGGAGCTGGTGCGATTTATTTAAAATTCCACCTTGAAGACAACCAAATTGTGGTATTTACCTTAAAATTAATGGTTTTGCTCTTCTAAAATGGAGCAATGGATATTTTTCCACACTTTAATATACACATACAGGTGTATTTAATTTAATATACGCATTTAGATGGTTAAAAGATAACTGTGCATATTTTTCACTTCATTTTTAGGGATTTCATGGATCCTACGATGGATAGCACAAAGCACATATTAAATTACCTCATGCCAATCTTGGAGGAGGTTGATCCAGAACTCCATGACTTCATGCAAAGGTAGGGCTGTTTATGTTGAAACGGGAGCACCTTGTTTCTTCCTTGTCTGTAGCAAGACGTTTGCAACATGTCTGACCCCTCCACCATTTAGAAAACAAAGTTCCCGAAAATGGAGTCCATGTGTGTCAGATGGAAGTAGATCTTCCCGTGTTTTGCGAGAAACACTGTAGTATTCGTGCTTACTGGTTCCCTTAAACTCCAGCTGTTTCACAATAGCAGCTATCAGCTGAGGCAGCTGTGGGTTCTAACTTGGAATGTTGCTCCACTGCATCTTCATGAGAAAAGCAGTGGGCATATTGTAATGATATAGTAAGCTTCCATCCAGCTACATCCTGGAAAATCAGTCATACCACCTGTGGATAATACGCAATTTCAAGTGTTCAGACCCATTTTCCAAACATTTTGTGAACCACCACATGCTAACAGTATTTTTAGCATTCTGTTACTATTGGATATCTAACAAAAAATAGTCTGCTCTTGGTGAACATTGAAATGTTCATGAATTCTTATTCAGTGCTCGAACAATTATATTTTTGAAAAGCTCTGCAGTGCTTCTCTGTATTGTGCTGTTAATTTAGATTGTTAATCTGTATTAAATTGCCATTTTGCTTTTTTCCCAAAGATGGAATGCCAGGTTAGCAGTGCAAGCTTTAGCCTTAGTCTGCCTCCACATCCCATTTTCTTTTCCACGGATCCCCTGTAGGATCACCATCAGGAAACCCTCAATGCCACAGTGAAGCCATATCATATAATTCGCTTTTTCTCTGTAAAAGGGAACCGTGCGCAAAATATCACATATTGTTCAAACCAGACAGGCTAGCATCCCCTAGATGGAAGTTTAAAACATGCTACCTTTTGCAAAGATAGTCCAAGATATGAAATACTGAGCCTTTTTTCCCAATTTTGTTTTTGTTTTTCAGTTTGATTTTTACTTTGTATCTAAACAGAAATATGTATGTTCCATGTCCTTTAGAATGGATTGCAGTGAGGTCATTGTGTTAATACAGAAGCACTCTACAGGATCAAGTCAAGACTGAGAAACCTTTACAACCAGATTTCTAAAACAACTACTATCCTTGACTGTTTTAATCGTAAAAAAAAATGAACAAACATAATTAAAAAGCATAGCTAAATTACGTATTGACGGTATTTAATCTCCCTGAATGTTAATAGGGCTGTGTAGCCAGTCACACGATGAGTTTTAGAGTGTTGCAATCAGACATGGGCAGATATCGCTAACTGTTTAACTCCTCTGAAGTCACTTTGGGTTTTCTTTCCTGATGCTCCCTGTGGTACGATGAGGATTTGTGCTTTGTACAAAACAGAGCTGTAGGCTTGAAAATGTGTGTCTGTCAGCTGTGTGGCTTTTTTAAACGTCCAGGAAGAAGAATTATCAGCTTATATACAAGCGTTTTCTTTGGCACTTAAAGTAAAGCGATTTGTAGGCCTCTTTCCTTTGACTTTTGTGACTGATGTTCTTATCATGATGACATATTTTATTTTCTGCAACACAATTTGTTTTAAACTAATACATCTGCACCATGTCAGTCTGTACTGTGTGCTCAAATTATTGGAATCTGTGGTGATCAATGGCACAGTAGATCAGTAGCTGTTTACAAAGTGTTTGAAAGTGGATGGACAAGAATTGCCGGAATCGCATATAGATACATACCATAAGGCACTGAACAGTGCAGTAACATAAAAGGTGAAAATTCACAAACAGCCTTATCCACTTCAGGGTTGCTTAAGCCTATTCTGGCAAGCAGTTGGGGCAAGTAGGGATACCCACTTGACGTGACGCCAGACTCTCAATAGGGCACTCACAGACACAGATGCAAACACGCACACACTCACATCAGGGCCTGTTTTTGCACAAGCCAGTTAACCTGCAAGTAGGTCTTTGGACCTAATCACGGGGAGAACTTACAAACTCCACACAGATAGCATCCCAGGTCTGGAATTGAACCCGGGACCTCAGCACTAGGCTCACCACTACATTGCTGCTGTGTCATCCTACCCATTTATTAGCATGAGTAAGACATACTTTATGCAACAGGACATAATTGCAAAGTGAAAACAGCCTTTTCACCCTTATAACATTTTTCTGCTTGTCGTGATTTCTTAGAGCGCTGCATAAGGATAATACAGATACAGTTTTCAGCAAATGAAATGCCGAATGAGTCATGTTCTGCAATTACATTCTATTATGCAATGTTGTTCTGTTCTGAGTTTCAGATGCATAATCGCCTTAGAGAGATACTTGACAATATTGAGATATTATCACCTCAAGTTAGAAATATGGGTCGGAATTTCCTTGATTCAGAATTGATTTTTAATTCTTGCATTTTCAGCGATGCAATGGAGCAGCAGGCTGGATTTCAAGCTTGCAGCCTGTTTTCATCAAGCAGATTTTCTGCAAAATAAGACAGTGTATTAAGGATCATAATAAGAAGCAGTATAACTTTCTAATAGTCTGAGCATAGAAGCTAAGCAAGGCTGGGCCTGGTCAGTACTACACCATTAGGGAAAACCTTCAGAGTAACCCAGTTTGCTATTGCAAGTGGTATTGATGGACCAGTAGGTGGCGCTTTGCTCATCAGATGAGATACTAAACGTAATTGTTTATTACTAGCACATTAGGCATCCAAAGTTGAGTAGGGATGTTATTACAGTTGACCTCACTAAACTGCACTCTGGGCTTGTACACAATGACTTTTCTGAATTTACCCCTTTAACTCCGTTGGTAAAGCAGTTTCTCATGACTTTACCTAAACTAGTACATTGCGGGGCTCATGGTACATGGTGTGGCACTTCAGTGAATGATGATGTGGTTCCTTTATGTGTGAAAAACACTTTGAAATGTTTTAAGCTTATTTAGACACATGGAATTATAATTGACAAAATTCTTTTCTCTCAGGAGTTGTGATATTGACTGTTTAAAGTCCTGGCTTACCTGAAACTGAGAGCTTTGGTTGTTTGTGTAACTGATTACCAGAAGAGCTACTCTTTAACTGATTTACCAGACAAGTTGGCTAATCACATTCGAATGTGAGCAGCTTGCATCCTGATGAAATCTAAAATGAGAAGCCATGTGATCCTTACCTTTTATTGTGCGGGCTGCCTGTACGATATGGGTTTGATTCTAAGATTTATGATTAAGTGTTAAAAAGGCAGTAAATAGCTGTACTTGTTCATATTTAAATAACCTGTGTTTTGCTTATTCGTCAGGCCATGCTCTGTATAATACTTACTGTAGCTCACCCTGAGTGATAGAGGTTTCTCCTCTAGTATATAATGGCTGTGTAATGTCTCCATGCAGTTGAGATTTTGGGCCAGTGACCTTTTGAAGCTTAATTTACAAATAATTAAAACAAATGGGGTAAAAACTCAATCAGTAGTCATAATTGTATTCTAGTTCAGCTGGGTAGCTGCGTCAGCATGCGTAGGCTGCAAAGGAACAATTAATAGGTTTATTCCATGCTGAAAAGAGAAGAAAGAAAACACAGCGTTTTGGCTAGTTTTAGATGTTTAATTAAAAAAATATTGCTTTTGTCATTCTTTTTTATTTCCTGTCAGTTTTGTTGTAAATAGTACTTACTCTCTTATTCCCGAAAAACAAGTAGTGACTAGAATAGTCGTTTGCAAAGAATTGTTCATTTTTGATGAGACATTTATGCATAATGTATTAGACTTGTTTTTGCCATTTCAACTTGTATTGCTCCTGAAAAACAAAAATTTAACAAAATCTTAAGGAATACTTCTGAGCAAGTGAAATATTAAAACTGGTGCAAAAACTTATTTTTAGAATGCGTTTAGCTGCATTCAGCTCTAACGAATGCAGAGGCCCTGATGGCTTATATCTTAATACACATACTGTAGGACAAATAACTTTATTTGAACAAATCATCATTACTGCTTCACACTAAATGGGTGCAATGTCAATCATGTCCTCTATACAGGCAGTTTTGTTCATATTTTTGCTTCATGTGTAGTTTGTCTGTAAAGTGCAGGATGCAAGTCTGTCTCGGGATATTAATTACAGTAGATCAAAAGCAACAGATATAGAGAAAATCAATTTTATCGATTTCCTCTTATGTACTTCCTCCTTCCTCCTGAGTTTGCAAAGGCTGATGAAATGTGAGAAGGGGGGCAAAAAATGAAACTTTTGCAGTAAATTAATACAGTAAACTTCCTGTTTATCAGGTACCTTTTCCACCTCTTGTATGTGCATAATTGATTACCTGACAGAAAATACACTTCTGCACGCTATAATTGGGAAGTCTTCAGTTCTTATCTGTCTCAACACTCTGTGCAACTTGAAAGAAGCTGTCGGCAGTCAAGGGAACATATAAATAGTGTTGTCGCTGTGTTTGCTATCTCAGTGTCACACCCCCTTCTAATAATTGGCATTTGCATTTCCTTTTTATATTGACGTGTCAGGTAGGCCTAAATGCATCATTTTTGAATGGAAACATCAGCGTCTTTCCAGTAAAACGGTGCTATTGGTGTTTCTTTCCCCCAAAGAAACATAACCCAATATTTTTTCTTGATTTGACCTGTATCAAGCTGTTTGTTTTGAGCCGTTTCAATTCCATGTGGACCAAAGGTTTTGGGGAAGCTATTCGTCCGTCCATTTTTTAAGCACTTTATCCAATTCAAGATAACGGGGGGGAGCAGGAGTCCGTCCCGGCAAGATTCAGGTGCAAGGCAGGGTTCACCCTGGACAGGACGGCAGCCCATCGCAGGGCAGTCACAGACACAGACACGCACACACTCGCATCACATTAGGGCCAATTTTCCCAGGAGCAAATTAACCTTAAAGCAACCAAAGGTAACCCACATGATCACAGGGAGAACCTACAGACTCCGAACAGACGGCAAATCAGGTTTGAAATTGAACCCAGGCCTCCTGCCGCCCTTGCAGAAGCTAGCGGATGATAAATTGTGAAAACCCACCCATCGTTCAAAAGGAGAAACTATAATGGACGGCTTTTAAAGCTTAAAAGGAGGTCAATATGACTGAAAGGCTAAGCTGAATAAAAGTAGAGGTTTTCATTTTTTCAATTTATGGTACGTACCAAAATCTGTCCGTTTTAAAACCTAAAAGTGTTACAAATATACACGCCAAATCTGATTTATTTCCGCAAAGATAACTCCAAAAGCCTGTTGTCTGAATGTGTACACGTACTTTTGGTGGTTGGTGGCGTTTCAGGTGCCTGCAGCTTCGGCTGCACCGAGCATCACAGTAAGTTATTTTTAATCGCGGGACATTTAAAATTTAGAGAAGAAGAGTGTCTCTTTATAAATAATGAATGTGTGCATCATGGGAGCCCGAGGGAGGTTTACATACTGCTGTCTGGTCTGAGTAGCACAAACACAGGAAAAATGTGACTGTCGGTATAAGTGCTGCTGTTTCACTTTGCGCCTAGTATATTAGCTGTGCTGCTGTAGCTCTACTGCTCATCCCGGAATGAGGGCAGAGAAAGATGCATTGTCTATAACTGCAGTCATAAGAGAGCAGGTAACAGGTTCCCCTGCCAAGCCGAATGGTGCAGAGCTTCTCCGAGGTCCTGTGAGCTGCCACACTTGGCTGCCTGTGGTTTATGAGGCCAAAGTGACAGAGCACAGGCCTGGGGAAGTGTAGGGAGCTGCAGGATCTTGTCCTTGGGCTGTAATAAAGTTGAGAGGAAGAAATTACTCATCCTAACATGGGGGGGGGGAGTTGGAGGAAAAAAGACATCAAAGTCTTTTATCACCATGTTGCCACTTTCATTCAGAATCATTGCTGACCGAAAGCCAGTCTGTCTCAGTTCAGGTCCCAGCAGACGGATATCCGCATCATAACTGACACTGTTGTCAGCAGTTTCACAGTCAAGTCAAGGACTGTGCTGTTGCTCTCTCTCCGAAGGGGAGAGCCTGGGAGGCAGGAGTCCTCTTTTTTTTTACAGAGCTAGGTAGTTGTTTTTACACCATGCTTTATCCTTTATACACCCCCTGCTTCAGTAAAACTGAATTCCTTAACGCTTTTGTTTTGCTTGAGTGTCGATATTTACAGCTGCCCATTTTTTTGTTTTTTATCGGATGAACACTAGGACCATTTAAAAAAATAAAACAGATACGAGGCACGCGTCGGCCACACTTGTCATCCAACCCATAGTTTTCATGCTGTTCATCCTGGTGAGGGTCATGGCCCAAACTCTTCAGTAGCTGTTAAAATGAAACTTTTATTATAGGAGTTTTAAATTCATTCGGCGGTTTAATTGCCTTCGAAAACCACTTTAAGATGTCAGGCTTCATTTTGTACTAATTGACTGGCCCTCCAGCACCACGGTATTGGTATAAACAGCTGGGTTTTGCGCTGTGAATATCAATGGCGAGACTCTATTGCTAATGTATGCTGTACCTGTAGCTGGGTGAATGCCGTTTCGCTTCAGGGCACAGAAGTGTTTCATCTGAGGAGCTTTTTTTAAGCGTTTCAATGAAGAAAATATTGAGCCTATTTTTTCTTCTCAAAGTCGAGTAGCATTTTAAAGATTTTAGAAGTCCCGTCTGCGAAACAAGCCCCGACGTAATTGGAAATTATGTTTAATTAATACCTTACCCTAATAAAAATGGAATTTGTTTTTTGTTCAGTTTCCCCTCACTAGTGCCCTTGTGGTGGTCTGTTTTGGCTCCTGCAGGGCAGAGGTGGGCACAATCTTTGCGCTGAGTTGGCTGATCACCTGGTACGGGCATGTTCTGTCGGATTTCCGGCACGTTCTCAGGCTCTACGACTTCTTCCTGGCTTCCCATCCCCTAATGGCGATCTACTTTGCTGCAGTGGTAAGAATCCAGGTTTCCTTTCTACCAACCCCATTTGCACCCCGGTAATTTTTTTAATCTTATGGGCTTGCTGGTGTGAGGGCTCTTTTAGCTTCCACTAAAAGTGGTATGAGGGCTAAGGAAAAGCACATTGCCTAGGAATGAGTATTCGTAGCCACACTGTTATTGTTACATGAAGTAAAGGTTTCTCAAATGGTTTTATACCCATTTGGAAGAATTATTTATATTACACATATGGTTTATATCACGACCTCGTGTTTATACGACACTCGCATAGTATTCATCCTATGTGAACCAAACATAAGTGTTAAAGAGCCTTTTCCATCTTTTTCTTCTGACTTGGCAAAAGCTGCCTATTTTTTAATGGCAGGCCTGTAGTTAAGAAATGTACTCCTTGTTCAGATTAAGTACTTAAAACAAATTATTTTGACGTATTTGGTCTTTGCCTAAATAGAATTTTTATTTTATTACTTTCATAGCAATCAATATTGAATTTGTAGGCAACCTGTCATGAATTTAAGTTTGCGGGACTGGAAAAATTACCTATTATTGTTACTTAGGTGTCAGTTTGTATTCAGTGATGCATTATGTTTGTAGGATGTATTGTGTTTGGGAACTCATTTATGAACGATTTGAAGAGGTATCAAGAGTTTTGCTGTCATCTGTCTGCAGTCACTTTTCCGACTGTAGTTCCTGTGATTATATTTTCATATTTTCTTGTCTTGTCTTCTTCAAGAAAATGCCCAAGAACGATACATTTTTTCCAGTATTTTTCTTATTGCAAGCCTAACTCCTATTTGTTTGTAATATGAAAAGAACAACAGTGATACCAAGAAGTGTCAGTATTTTAAATATTTAATTTATGAGTTCCTGTAGGAAGCTGTGTTTATTATTATGTACCATTAAGGAGTTTGTTTCTCCTTACACTTATGATTATAACTTTCTGCCTTCAATAATAATTATGCATCCCATTATTTTTTTTGGTCTTCAATTTGTCTAGTTCGTGCAAAGCAACTGAGTTACTCCTCAAGTTTCCGAAAACTAGTTTTAATCTGGTATAAAAAAGGGAAAATTGAAGTTATGCTTTGACGTTTGTGCTGTTTGAAGTTGTATTTTGCCTCCATTATGTTTTCAACAACAAGGCATCTTTAAAAGAAAAGGGAAGGATTTAAATAAAACTTTTCATTACTTTCTGTTTTTGTTCTCACGTCACGAGGGAGTCTCGAGCACTTTGTTGTAGACCGGTTAATTAAAGAACTATAATGAACTCACTAGAGGTTTGTGTGGAAGACTTTTGCTGTTTGAGCAAGATTAGTTTAAATTGCTCCTTTCTTCTTTCCCATAAGCGTATTCCCCTTCAGATATGGGGTGGAAACCTGAAGGGGCACTCTGGTGTTTGAAGTTTGGATAACAAAGACTCTGGAAAATGTAGCATGGTTGCCAATAGTATAAAATAGTGACGGGAATTTCCAAAGCCTTTTGCTCCATAGCAAAATTCAGTCCTGGTTCAGCTATGTATGAGCCGTTTAGAAGTACAGATCTGGTTGGAGATGATATGAGGCTGAAAACCTCAAATAATGTTTTCACTCAACTCATTTTCTGTTTTTGAGATGAACAATGTGGAAACGTCCAGCTTGGAACGTTGTCCTATAACTTAAAGCTTACGGAGTGATGTGGCAGAGGGAGCCAAAAGACATACTGCAGCATATCCCTGCATCTCCTCCACCTCTCCCCTCTCCCCTGTTCCAGATAGTTCTTTACAGAGAGAAGGAAGTGAAGAGCTGTGACTGTGACATGGCCAGCGTCCACCACCTCCTGTCCCAGATCCCCCAGAACCTCCCCTACGAGGAGCTCATCTCCACTGCACAGGAGCTCTTCACTCGTTACCCTCCAGTAGTGCTCGCCAAGAAGGCTGCCCTTCAGCCCCGCGAGAGGTAAGAGAGAGAGAGGAGATACGTGTGGAAACTGAGCCGTGTCTCCTGAAGCATTTTAAAATGTGCGTACTGTAAATCACACCGGTGTAGAAAGTCATCTTTTCCTGGACTCAGGAAGGTCACTTGACCGGAATGCTTCGTTTGCAAGTACCTAATGGCTTTCTCTAAGTGTAGTACATCTTGGCGATTTCAAGTACAGGTGTCCTTTTTATGGATCCTGACATTCCTACATAAACCTGTCTCCATATCGGAGAAAAAATAAGGGTTTAAGCGTTGCTTGTTGCGTTCCTACCTCATTTGGAATGTCTCCAGATTTCCTCTCGCTGCTGCTCGGAGCGACACATCGCTCAGGAGACCAGGGCTGATGGGACGTCACCCGGTCCGTTCACGCAGTCACCCTCCCGTACATTAGAGGGCGCTCTTTCACCTGAGTGGCCCGAATTAGATTCCGTCAGGCGGATATCATTGGTATTCAGTCGCTTCAAGCTGTGTAGAGTGGTTGAGTGGCAGAGCAATTTGAAAGGGAGGTTTGATGTTTTATCCACTTGGCTGAAGGACGGACAGCCCGGCTATGATGGCAAAGCTCACAGAAACCCTCCAGGTAGGACTATACCAAGGGACTGCTGCAGGGCTGGCGAGGAAGCAGAGGGAGGGATGTGAAATGACACGTACTAGAAAAAGGTTGTGCCCTTCGCCTGCAGTTCTAAACTGTTGGAGTGTTCGTCCTCTTTCTCAAACTTTTCTGGAAAGTTAAAATTCATGGTCAGCACGTCTGGATCTCCTATAGCCTCCTCATGCAGTGTGATGGATTAAGGATGGTCAGCTATAATGAACTCCCTGGACACTTTAAAAATATTTAACTAAGAAGAAAAATTGGATCATTGTCAGATCAGTCTGGTGCAGTAGGCCTCTTTGTTATATATTTAGTTTCAGTTATTCACTGTGCAGGTTCTACATAAATGATGGTGTAACTGCTTAGTAAGATGTACCCAGAATTGAAGAATTCAGCACTAATCCCAACTGCTGACTGTGATGCTGTAGAGGCGCCAAATCCAGGCAAGGTAGCAGTGCAAAGACACTGTGAAGTAGATTTCTGTCCAGAAGGATATGATAAGTGGTTTTATTTAAGGTAGGCAAGTGCAGCTGATCTAGTATAATTGATCGAGAGCCGTTCATGTTTGTGTAGACCGTCGTGAGGGGCCAGTAATGTTTCGATAAAGGACTTGTGAACTCTGAACACAGGCTCTCGTGTCCTGGGATGCTCATTCTGAGGCATGACGCATGCTGTTTGGCACCTTAAATTAACTTCAGAAATTAAACAAACAGCATCTGCGGAGCAAAACAGAAAACCTAGATTTAGTGAGAGTTAATCCTAATTTGTCAGGGAACTGGAGTAAAATACACTGGCGTTCTCATTTTTATTTTAAAATTTAGTCAATCTGAAAAAGAGTTTTCAGGAGAATGTGTTATATTTTTAAGGAAAAGCTGAAGTTGCACGACTGACACGAGACTGGTCTTTTCCCCCCAGCATTTTGTGATCGTTCTCCACCATTAGCTTGTCCTATCAGAATGTCTTTTCTCCAGAAGGTGGGGCTGTTGAGCATGAAATCACAGGCTGAGATCCACCGCAGCTGATGCCTTTTAGAGGTGTTGTAATGCAACAGTCGAACGTCCTGCCTATCTCCATCTGCATCCTTTCCGCCTAAACGTTGCCTGTCAGTCTGGAGATTGAATTTGTAGATCTCATTTCCTAGAAGGGAAAAGAGTTTTGGGACGTTGTTCACATGCGCTCACGCACAAAAGAACCCCCAACACATTGCCCTCCAAAAGATCAGTAGTTTTGTTCAGCTACGGTCCGGGTGAAGCAAAATAAAGCAGATACAGGCCAATATATACAATGCCTATGAGGAAAGAGTGGTGAAATAAAGTGCATTTAACAATTGGGGTTACTTCAGGCTTTCATTTGTAGCCTTTTCAGAGTTAAAGGGACTCCAGGCCCCTTATGGGGGCAGCTACCTCATGCAATAAATAAGACCTGTCCCTGGGTAATTATGTGCATGCCTAATTTTGCATAAATTACATTCCCCCTCAGCATCTGCGGCCTCGCGGGGCTGGCACTCCACAGCAGGGGTGCCGGGGCCCGTGTGCTCTCATTGTTTGTTGGAGGTGATGAAATGAGCATGCATGAAGCTTTAACCTTCCTCTCTATTGTGCTGCCTGACCTGAAAGTGTAGTGCAGTGGAGGGAATAATTCTACATTCACCCCAATGGTCATTATTTGCAGCAGTATTCATGTCTCTGCACAGTTCGTTCACCAACGCTAATGTTTGGCCGTGCAATATGTACAATATTACAACAGACGTCATTGTGTTTTTTTTTTTGTCTAGCTGGTGTTGCAGGTGAGGTTAATGTTCAGCGATGTAGATCCTAGATTCTAAAACGGATGAATTGCATTAAGTATTGCAGCCCAGATCCATCCTTTTGCAGTGCGAATCGGTATCAAGAGCAGCAGGACTGTAAAAATATGATTACCGACAGGATTTGGTGTGGATGACTTTGTCATTGTCTGGCATCATCCTGGCAGATCTGTGATTTATTTTGTGTCCTCAGGCTGGACTTAATCGGGGGCAAGACGACGTGTTGCTACTCTGCAGCCACGTTGTAAAAAAGAATGAATAATGTGGATGTCAGTTTTCTTTTTTCCCAGCGTTTTCTGATGATTCTTATCCCTTTTTTTCTTCCCCCTCCATGTACCTAATATGGCTTGTTTTTCGTATCGGTCAGATATAGCCCCGAAACAGAAAATGGGTTTCTAAGGTACAGAAAGGAAGGGGTGGATAGTAGATAAGCCTGCACATCCATTAGGTTAGAAATGAAGCTCTCTGAAGGTCAGGCAACACTTGAACAAGGTCTTCTCACTCCACAAGGTCAAGTGCAGCTGTGCTTCCGGACAACCGCTGAGGTTTTCTGTACGATAGCGGTAGTCCCATTGTACAGCCAGCCTCTGCATTGCAATCTAATCTACATCTCCCCCTTCACAGCAAACATATTTATTTCCTCAAGGCCCGGATGACAGTCGCTTGCAGATTGCTTTCAGTTGCTCTGGCGTCCCAGTCAGCTGCACTTTGTTTCCCGCGGAATTTTTGCCGTGTCGGATTCGGTGAAGACGGCGCGAACACTTCGAATGAATGCACAGATATCCCGATCCTGCAGGGGGACACGTTTTCCCCCTGCTGTTGCCCTTTTGCCGATGACCTCTATCCCTCGGGAGTCCCATGCGGACATGACCTTTTTGAAATATCGCCAAGTTGAGCCGTCTGGGTCACTGAAGCTCCTACCAGAAGCGCCCACCCCAACATTTACCCCTCTTTCAGAGTCAGTGAGGTCTCCCTCCAGATGTGTTCAACATTCGTATCCATGACTTTTACAATGCTGGGATTTTATTTGCTTAATGAATGCCACATCTGTGTGGAATCCCTTGATTTTAATATACTAGGTGTCCCTCATTTACCCAAGTGTCTTCATTTTTGTCCCAAACCTGTTCACCGTGATTTATGGGGGCAGAATGTTTAATTATTTTGTGTGTTAAACTTTTACACATCAACGTTTAAACTTGCTGTGGAGCTATTTATATAACTAATAGCTGTGCAACTTTAGAGCTAGATCCAAATGAGCTGAAAACAATGAACTGGATGTCTCATTAAAACATGTAGTTTGTTTTCAAAGACACTGAGCCTATATATTTTTAGTTTTGTGTATGCTTTTTTATTTTTAAAAGCCCTCTCTGGCTAAATCATTAGCATACCAAAAGAGGCACTGCTATAGTTAATTGCATTAAACTTTCATTCTCGTGTTTTATAGTCTCTGGAGAAAGAAATTAGTCTGGAATTATGACCCTACTTCATGGACAACAAACTCACCTTTATCTGTTATGACACAATCCGTTTTCATTATGTACTGCATGCTGTGGTTACAAGTGAATCCAAGCTCTAATTCCAGATTATAATAGGGGTAATATGGGCAGCACGGTTTCGCAGTGGTTAGCACTGTTCTGTGGTTAGTGGTTAGTTCTGGTGCCCTGCGTTCAATTCTGGGAGTGCTGTCCAAAGACATACTTGCAGGTTAACTGGCTTCTGGGAGAACTGTCCCTGGTGTGAGTGAGTGTGTCTGTCTGCCTTGTGATAGACTGGTGTCCCGTCCAGGATGAATCGTGTGTTTCGCAAATTTGCTTGCCACGTTAGGGTCTGGATATAAGTGGATAAAGCAGTTGGAAAAATGGATGGAAAATAGGTTAGGTAGCTAAACTAAGTTCCCATTTGAACTGATTTGTTTTTATAGTGGAATGCAGGAATATGAATAAACAAGCCAAAGGTATCAAGTAGTGGATATCTTCATCACAGTCTAAAACGGTGCTCCATCCAGATTCAGTTTAAATGACGTCACTTTAAGAAAGAAGCACCGTGTGCTGTTCTTACCATGCTGCTGAAGGACATGGCTTTTCCGGCTGTTTCTCAGTGCCTCCTCTTTCCCTTTTTCTCTTTCCTCAGCATCACCATTAGCTCCTTCAAAGACTTCCAAATGGCCACCCTCCAGCAGCGGCCCGACACCGTCCTGCGACAGCAGCTCCGGGACAGGGCCTCGTCCGACCTGGCCGTCCCGGAGGAGGTGGCGCCCGCAGGAACGAGCCAGCTGGTCAAAATGGCCGTGTGGGGCATCTCGGCCACGCTGGGGGCCGCCGCGCTGGCTGTCGCGCAGACTGCTCTGGACTGGGCCCCGGAGTTCCTACTCCAGCTCTTTTGAACCCCTGTGCTCCCGTGCGGTGGGGAGGGGCAGTGCGTGGTGCCAAATCATGTGACGCGTCTACGTGTGTTTTATTTATTCGCTGAGTTTTATACGTCTGTCTGGTACTATCACAGCAGGAAAGGGTAAGAGCCTCATTTCTGGGATGAAAAGAACACTCAATGTATTCCTATCACGGTACATCCAAGCAAATGCGCAAGGAGCTGAACTGCAGGAACCAAGTTTGAATTAAAAAAAAAACAACTTTTATTGCCCATATTTTTGATAAATGTAAAGTGCATTCACATACAAGACCAATTCAAGAACCACTTTCCATTTCGGTCAAAAGTTCTATCTTATTTATCTGTCAAAGGAGGCATTTTTCGGTTGAAATTTATAAAAAAAGCCACTTTGATAAAAAAAAGGGTCTTGTAAGTTTGTTGCACTGATGTTATCGCCTTGAAAATTCATTCTTTAACTTGACTGAGTGTTGGTGAGGAACAAGCCACTTAGATGCCTCAGGTTTTGGACTTATCTGTCTTCACTCGCACACAAGGAGAGCAGTGTGAGCCTGACATTCTGTTTCCTAACTGCTCTGAACCTTTGTGCGACTGCAGGAACCCAAAAAGAAAGTCAAAGAACAAGACTTCAATTACCACTGTCAGTCATATCTGGAAACACGGCTCTGTGTCTCAGAAAGGCACAGGGCAAGTTGCTACAAACTCCCTGGAAACAATTTTTTCCTGTTAGATAGGAGCCCATTACAGACTGTATTTTAGGATTTTTGAGACTGGCATTTTAAGATACGAGTGGTGCTGTAAAGAGCATATTCTTCAGATAAAATGTCTGATTGCTGGGGCTCATTTCCAGACTTATAAGCAGTATAATAGTACATGGTGCAGAGATATTGTTAAAAACTTTTCAAACAATATTTTGCCGACTGGTACAGCACTTATAACTTTATCCTGATGTCGGCCAGCTCTCTGCCAAAAGGAAATGAAAAATTGTGCACAGATGTGTGGGGCTCTATTGGGTTAATGTGGTTTATTGACCGAGTTTTGCAAAGTCAGGATACCCAAAGCCATCATTAGGACAGCCTAGCCTGATCTAGAAAAGAGAATCTCTTTTCTGCCAGAGAGCAGAAAAACATTGTTAATATTTGCCTGTTATTAAGATTTGTTCAACAAACTGTTCTTACTCCATCCTACCCCCAAAATAATGCTGGATTTTCATGTGTGTCTTTGAAGTCAAGCATATTAATACTTTGAAATGATTGTTCGATTTATATGAAGGAACAAAATGGGATATCCTTAATACAGATAAAGCAAAATACGTTAATTGTATTTGTAATTATTTAGGCAAAATAGTTAATATATAAAATAGTTATATATTTTATATCTGGACATTCTTATCATGTTGTTATTGTGCACCGGAGAACCATTGGTTACATTTTTCTTAGTGCTTGAGAGTTAAGACAGATCTTACAAATACATTGTAGTTCCTCCCAAAAAGCAATATTTCCTACTTACAATAGTTACGGTATATTTGTAGGAAGGTTTAATTAAATGAAATATCAATGTACAGTATATTATAGATGCTGCTACCATATAGAAACCTTTAAAGGGGGTGTACATTTTTGTCTTGGTACGGAACAATAGTTCTTCACTTATCATTTTCTTTGGAATCACTATTGATGCGCATTTTCTTGAACATACTGGGACGGCTGTTTTGTACTTTTGAGAAACATTGACTATGCCATTATTACACTATTGCCATCTAACTTTGTAAATGTCAGCATTGTTTAAAACCTTTTCTTTGGAAAATTCACTAAAGTCTTGTGCACACCATCAATATCTAATCCAATCTCTCTGTATGTTTTTGTGAGTAACTTAAGAGGATGAAAACTGGACAAATTTCTTGTGTGGGAATAGATCAGTCTGCGATTGACTGGTGTCCCATCCAGGGTGTAACCTGGTTCCCCCATGACCCTCAACTGGATGAAGTGGTTAGAAAATGGATGGAAGGAATAGATCAGTCAAAACTCACATCTTTCCTTTATATATATGCTAATGATTTATGACTACAGAGGAATTAAGTTACACTGTGTGGAAAAGGTTTTCTAAAAAGGTCTCTTCTAAAACGATGCCACACATTTTAAATGCTGACGTTGTGATCAGCATTTATGTTAATGTATGTGACACTATTGTTTTCCATCAATTAATGAAGATACCAAGATTTGCCTACCTCAGTTTTAAAGCAACCTGTACTATCGATACTTTCATAGTATGAATTAGACTAATCACTTTAAAGACTTGAAGACTAAATACATCTTCCAGGAAAGAGCAAGGTCTTATGCTGAACTGCATTGATCAAAGTCCTTTTAGAAAGGTTAGTGAAAAGTCTAAATATGTTGCTTAAAAATCTAATGTCCTCCATGTATTTAAAAGGGAAGTAGCAGATGTAGAAATCATATCAACTTGAAGAACTCTCTAGATTATTAGGTAACTTGGTCATTTCTGGTACAATTATTAGAATGCTAGTTCAGGCACCCCTGTGCTGGAAAATGCCTGCCAAACTCTCATCTTTATTTTTTTAGCTGCCTTTCTTATTGGTCTGAATCCCTGCACTAAAATGCAGAAGACTTGAAGCTGGACAGCTTTCTGGGCAATGTTCCCATACGCGCACAGGTTATGAAAGCAGCGCGCATAAGAAATTGAACTGCGCACAAAAAAATAAATTCCCCCAAAATATATGATGATAATAAAACGAACACGGTCGTCAATTGAAAAATGCTAAATTGACCACATGTGACTGGGTGCGAGAGGCCCAACTTGGCTGTGTGCGTTATTATTGCTACTTGATAATCGATATCTATGCTTTCGTAGTCTCGTACCTCGCTGCTCGTGCTCACTCGTCACTCGTTGAATCGCTGTCCCGGTCTTTTGGACCTGTATGCTTCTATGAGAATTGACTTTATTATCAAAAAATAAATTCAGGTTTACAATTTTACATACACTCAATGTAGTGCGCACATGGTTTTGTCGCTGGGGGGGGAATGCACAACTTGGACCTTTTTGCGCGCACAGGCCATTAACAATTAGAGGGAACGTTGCTTCTGGTTGGTGCAATTGCTGCATAGCGAAGGAGCAGCTCAGGCGGTAGTGCTTTAGGGTGCCGACTGTGGCTACAGCACCCCCCCTCGCTGCTGGAGGGGGACGGTCACTCCCCGACAGTGAGAGACCGGGGGGCTGTGCTCACGTGTGACCGGCGTGCCGGAGATCGCCAGCTCAGCGGTGTGCGCGGCCCGCTTGTTATAGAGGGATCGGCAGCTGTAGCGGGGGTCTGTCGCTTTATTTTATTTTATGTTTTGCAGTGGGTGCTTGTGCCAAGCAGCTGTGCCAAAGCGCAGACGCGCTTTGAGAGGGAGAAGTGAAAGGAGGGACACGCCAAGAGCAAAACAAGAGATTGACAGAGATGTGGAAGAAGCTCAATTCATCTGGACAAAGCAGGGAGATGAATTAAAGTGTAGATTGTGCAAGTGAAGCATGAGCAACAGCTGAATTCAAATATGCTTTCATAATAAGTGGATTCTACACACCATAGTAGTATTAGATGAGAATTTGTAATTAAATGTGGTTGTTTTTTTTGTAATCTATGCTGGCATTAACTGACTTTGTGACACCATTTTGGTAGATGTACCATTTACAAAACCCCCGTTTTCAAATGGCTTCCTATTTGTAAAATTATCATTTTAGTTCCGTTTTGATATTTTAAGCTGATTTAGTTAGGGGTTGTGGAATGTGTTCTGGAAATCTATACTGTACTACGATTTTATTTCTTGATCAGTTTGTATACATGAAGAATAAACTTTGATAGCAGCCTTTTATTGTACAAAAAATGTATGTGTTGTTAAACAGCTACAGTATACTACAAACATGCTTTCAAGATAAACCTGTTTGTTAATAATTTACAGAAAACAATCATTGCTGAAGAGGAAAACATACTTTAAAGTAAAAAATATATATAATAAAAGTATGCAGAATCTTCCAGACTTCTATGAGCAACTTTGTCTAAAATATGCTTTAACTGCTTTTATAATTAATGAACTTCATTAAGTAGACTGTCATGTACTGTATTGTAGATAGCACATCTGGTTAAGTTAAGAATTAAAAGCTTTTAAAAAAATGAGAATGCATGTTTCTTTGGTAGGAAGGTGGTGTGGATTGGAAGATTATTAGGTCAATCTACAAGGTCAGACAGTAATTCAGTAGCCCTTTTGGAAAATAAACGGGGGCATTTTGCCTATATAATGTTCTCAGAAATGAAATTCTGAAGTGTCTCCAAATAACAAAGGAGAAGATTAATATTAATATCCCAAGCAGTTCTGTCTTAGTTCATGAGCGTACAGAGGTAGGTTAGCTTCGAACTCTCAGAAATAGTTCATAGAGGGTTAATTGATTAAATTAAATTTATCCTCTCTGTCTGTAATATTTAAGTATTAATAATGAAAAATGGCTGTTAAGCGTTCCCATTCGCACGTAGGAAATGAGCTATAGTTAATTGGCCCCTGTGCTCTTTAAACATTTATAATGGGCTGCAAAGCTGGCTGTCACATACCATACTGACTGCACATTTGATCACTTTCTGTCACTGAGGTGAAGTTCAGAGTGGGAACTGAAAAAGATAGGGTTAAAGAAACAACCTTGAGAATGTGGTTTGCATAGGTGTTTGCAAAATGCCCTTTCTTATCGTTTATGCAATGTCATTGAAGACATGTGTAACGTCTATGTATGGAACAACTACCCTGAGATGCAGCGATTTACATTATCAGAGCTATATATAGTCACGGTTTGGATCAAATCCATAAAAAGCTAACACCAATACAGTAGGTAAAGATAGTTTTTCTGTCCCTCTGCTGAACAAACCGCATAGTCTGCAAAATTAAAGTGAAGGAAAAGACCCCTTTCTCTCTTCTGAACTGTTAGTGGAGGTTCTCTATTGTGACTGATTTTGTATCTTTTGATACAGTAAATGTCATTAAGCCTTAGTCATCTGTATAGGCCATTTGTAGAAAGATAATTTTAAAAGATTTTGCACCACATGGTCCGAAAGGAAACTGCTCGGCGCTGTCTAACTGTTAAACTGGAATGTTAAGTAGGTTTGTAAGGCTTCTGCTTGCCTTTGTTTAAATCTGTAAAAGATTAAAACAGTGGATGAATTCAAGAAAGCCAGCTCATGATTTAAAAATGATACTGTGATTTCATATAACTTAATTGCATTGTACATGTAAACCATTATCTTAAAAAGGTTTTAAAGATGGCACAAATGTGAGACAGTGTAAAAATGTGAATAATTGCTTAATTTGAAGAAAAGTTCACCAGTGTCACATAATTGTCTCTCATTTTTGATTCCTTTAGTTTTTTTTTTTAATTGGGTGTTCTTTCAATAAATATGTGCTGTTCGGCTCACAGTGATAGCAGTTTTATTTGTCTGATTGTTAGGGACTCACATTTGAACTAGAATCTACCCACATCTGAAACATTTCTTCATTCAAAGACAGTGAAAAGCATACTCATATCTTCCAAGATTGTACAGTGCTTTGGAAGACCTTTGCCCTAACAGTGATAGGTATATTAGTGCGGGATTCTGGTGCACTGTGAAAGGTTATAAAGGACTGATAGCAGTGGTCATAATGATGAACATGTACTGTACTCAAGCGAAGCCGCTGTGAGAAATTCTGACATGAGCACTGAAGCAATTGAAAGAATGACAGGCCCTCCCAACCAGGGGCAGAAGGCATTCTGAATTCTGATTCTGCTCAAACATTTAATTTCTCTCGTATCCAACAATTAAGTATTTTAAGGGTTTACTGTATGTTCAGTATCAAAATCAGAATAAAATCCAAAGTAAAAGTTTGATTTACTTTTAAAAAGGATATTTTCTATTTTTTTCAAGCAAACTCAAGCCTTTCATAGTTTTAAGTTTGTAATTTTTATATTAGACAGGTATGTGACATCTGTTATTATTTGGAGAGTTGTTAAATATCATCTTTGGAAGAGAGTGTAAAGACATGAAGATACTGTTCTAAAGGTTTCCAGGAGTTTTCCAGCAGGAAAGATTAATATGGCAGAATCATATGAAAGCACAGTAAATCCTAACATAAAACCACAGCAGAGCAAAGTGTGTGGTATAGGCAGCAAAAACAAATTGTGAACACACCATTCTTATTTACCATGAAAACTTTTGAAGGGGTGTGGCATTAATTAAAAGGATGAAAAATAAACACTACTCCCTGTTTTAGAAATGTTGTATTCCCTTTTACTGAGAGAGCAGTGGGACCATTAGTCGAATGGAACCCAAAACTGTGGAGGAATGGACTTGATTAATTACTTGATCATGCTACCGTTTCTCTGTCTTTGACTCCAATCAATATAGTGCACTATTTAACACAATGGGTAAACAGCCATGCCCAGTTTATGTGGGAACTCCCCAGCGTTGTTCAAAACCACATTATAAATAAGTCACCAGGCGACAGAGAGAGGGGAAGAAAAGCATTGCACAAGAGGGATTTCATCTCAGGTCATTTTTAACTTTATTGTTCTTGTGCCCTGCGGCTCTCTCTGCTTCTCTGTCAATTTTTTTCTCTTGTCAATTCCCTACATGCATGTCTAAGGCTTCTATGTTATCTATTCAATTGCTTTACCAGAAGTAGAAAGAAGAGATTATACAGTCCTTACACATTTTGTAAAAGCAGACCAAAAGGTGTTTTCTTCCTAAGGTACCAAACCTTCATACTTTGAAGTATACCTGTGGCCAAATACATAGGGGGCTATTGACTCAGAACTCTTAAAGAGCTGTGTCCCATCAGCCAGTAAGATAAAGCCTTTGACAAATTCAGTTTGGACTTGGGGAGCTATCTGTGTGGAGTTTGTAAGTTCTCCCTGTGTGTTTTACTTAGTTTCCACCACAGTCCAAAAAGAGACTGGTGGGTAAAATGGCTTTTGGGAAAATTGGCCCTGGTATGAGTGTATGTTTGTATTTGTATTTTTCTGTGCCCTGCAATGGATTGACATCCCATCTAGGCTGGATCCCACCTTGTGCCTGTGGCTTGTTGGGTTAGGCTCTGCCATACTGGATAAAATGGTTTAGAAAATGGAAGAATGGATAGATAAACATACTTCTAATTTAGCTCTTTACTGTATGTGAAATATTAACTATATATATTGTAGTAATACTACAGTAGTGAGCTTTTGTGCATTATATTAGTTTACCACCATTTCAGTCCAGTGCTGTCTGCTGGCCCCCTGCAATGAATTTTAAGAAAGAATCCTCACTTCCATATGTTTAGCAGAGCAACATCAAAAATGGGAGATGAGCATTTAACATTGCCCGACATTTGTAACACAGTCACAGAAATTAATCAAGCCCCAGGATCACATTGCACCTAAATGGAAAAAAGACAATCAAGGATCCCTTTCAACAGGAATAACATTTTTGAGTGGGATGTCTAACTGGATGTGTGGTTGTAAAAGGATTTTTGTTTAGCAAGATAATGCAATTCACAGTCTTGAAAGTGCAATAAACTTCAGGATTGAACAATAGTGGACTAGAAGGACGTGTTCTGGGCAGATGTGTGATGTGTTTGTGTGCACACCTTATTTTTAATGGTGAACACTTTAACAAGGAGGTGTTGATCTAGCAATTCAGCCTGGTGGAGGCACTGTAATGAACTGGGGACTTCTTCAAGGTACTGTTGTAAGAATGTTTTTTAATTAAAATAATAAAAAGAGGAGCACCACAGAATTCTTCAGAATCAAACTATTCAATCTGGCTGTTAACTTGTAGGTGAGTGTTAAGATTTCTAGCTAGATAATCACCCAGAGTTCTCTTCAAACCTTTGCATGGAAAACATTATTTACAGTATGCTAAACATTTAATGGCAGTCTTCAGCTCAGTGCCACAGGAAGCCTCAACTCCTCAAATGACATTTGAATTGGCAACAGACAGGAGGTTTCACTTTTTGATTTGTCCTTTAGATTAATAATAATAAACAATTAGGAAAGCCAAAGGCAATCGATCAAAATAAAATCATTCGATTGATCACTAACTATACTGATTACTTTAAACATAATAATACATTTTTACTTTAAGAAATGTGCATGTACAATTTTCTGATGATAACGTGCCTAAATATCCCTGGCTGATAAAAAAAAAATATTTTAAAAACACTGAACATTGTATGAACATTCCAGTTAAATAGCTGCATAAACTCACAAGTGAATAACGATACTGCTGGGTAATTAAAATAAAAATATCTCGAAAAAGAGAAAATTAGATTTGAGATAGTGTTTGACAATAGCGGCCTTCGCAGTTCATTGTTTCTCTAAACAAGCACAAATGGCTCCAAATTGTAGTCAGGGGCATTTGGGTTAACAACAGTTGGCGATCTGTATAGTTCTGCTCCTACCATGACCAAAAAACATTATTACGGTGTTCTGCAGACATGTGTTGCCATCTGGCCAGCTTTAATTGGAGTCAGATCCATCATTCACTGAGGCTTTCTCCCAAATCACTCCTCTGCTCCAGAGCTCTAAGGTGTTTGAGGAAGAGTGGTCTGGGAATACCTTCCTCCTCGACCTGTCAGCCATTGCTTATGAGAGGGACGGCTCGAAAGCAGTCACAGTAAGATGGCTGTGGATTGCTGAACAGCTGCGGCAGGCCTTGGGAGCTTTACTGGATAAAATTGCAGAGGATCCTGATTCAAAGCCGAAGGGTTACTGCCAAAAAGTAATTGGAATCAAAAGACCGGGCTTCAGTGATTTCAGTGTTAAATTGGAAGTTGCATGGCAGGTTAAATAATTTTGTTGCTTTACAACTTATC